CGGCAGCAAGAAAGAGAGGGCCGTCAGAAGATCAAAACATGAGAGAAGATGCGCCAAGAACTCAAACATAAGTTTCTTCCAGCACACTATCGATAAGACACTTTTCTTCAATTTCATAATTTAAGACAAAGAATCATGTCGGTAGAAGAGTATACGATGGAGTTTGAGCAACTTTTTCTGAAGTGTGATATCCATGAACCAGCAAAACCATCACTCGTTATCTGGGAGGTCTTAATATAGAGATTGCAGATGTCGTACAATTACAACCATACTGGAATCTCTACAACCATAATGTAGAGATTACAGATGTTATCTAGTTGGCGATTAAGGTTGAAAAGCAACGGGCACGGAAGAACACTATAAATTCCATTAGACAAAGGGAGACTACAACAAACTATGGAGAACAAAGCTTAGCACCCGTTCCAAATCCTACAGTAAATTCCTTCAAGCCTCTTTATAGAAATGATAAAGAGGGTGATTCTAGTCGCACTTCTAATGCCGCTTCAAGAAAATGTTTCAAGTGCCAAGGCTTTGGGCATATCGTTTTTGATTGTCCAAATCGAAGAATTGTTTCACTTGTGGAGGAAGAAGTTATTGAAAATCATGCTGAGGAGGTGAAGTAGAAGTGCTTGATGAGGACATAATAGAAGTACATGTTGATAATGGAGAATCCCTTGCGGTACGCCGCAGTCTGAGCACCGTTATGATGACCAAAGACGCAAGTTGGCTTCGTCATAATATTTTCCATACAAAGTGCACATCCAAAGGGAATGTTGTAACGTCATTATTGATGGGGGTAGCTGTGAAAATGTTGTTGTCAATTATATGGTAGAAAAACTGAAGCTTTCAACCATAGCACATCCTCATCCTTATAAACTGCAATGGTTGAGGAAAAAAAACGAAGTCAAAGTGTCCAAGCGTTGTTGTGTTCAATTTTCAATTTTCTATCGGGGATAAGTATCGGGATATCAGGATAAAGTTTGGTGTGATGTTGTCCGATGGATGCTTGCCACTTATTATTGGAACGCCTATGTGTAGTATGATCGTCAAGTTCTTCATTGTGGATACAAAAACATGTATTCTTTCAAAATGGATGGGGAAAATTGTTTGAAGAAACCAGAAGAGCCTACAACATTTATCACGAGATCCGGTCTTGAGAAAGCTTGTCGGGAAATAAACCAGGTGTGTTTGTTACTATTGTGCGACGAAAATGAAATGTCTTTTACCTTGCCTGAGAAAGTCAAGCACTTACTTCAAGAATTTTCTGATATTGTGCCGGATGAGATACCTCCTAGGTTGCCACCAACGCGAGATATTCAACATGCTATTGATTTCAGTCCTGGCTCTGTCATTCCAAATAAACCAGCGTATCGCATTATTTTTAAAGAACATGATGAAGACGTGAAACTCGATGGCAAGTCTCTTCTAACCCCGGAAGAATGATGCGGGAGCATAAAAGAAAAAGGAAAAGAAATTAAATTAAATTAATTATATTTATATTGACTTTTGTTTTGTCCCACATGGGAGAGATATGCTTTACTTTTTCACTTGGAAGGCTATAAATAAAAGCCTTACTTTGTCCCTTGTAATCATCATTGAATATTACTTTCTCTTCCTCTTTGAGGTTGTAGTTATCTTTGGATTAACCAACCAAGGTAGCTTTTTTGGCTATTATCGCCATAGCGGAGTTTATTCTAATTTCACCACGATTGACATCCATAATGGGGTTTTCAACCTCGCTAAAATTGGTGTTTCTCGCGACGTCCTGGCGTCAACTTGGTATTAAACGCCGGGACGTCGCGAGAAACCCCAATCTTGGCGAGTTTGAAAACCCCACCATGGATGCCAATTGTGGTGAGGTTAGAATAAACCCCGCTATGACAATAATAGCCAAAAAGACCGCCTTGGTTGGCTAAGCCAAGGATAACTATAACCTCAAAGAGGAAGAGAAAGTAATATTCAATGATGATTATAAGGGACAAAGTAAGGCTTTTATTTATAGCCTTCCAAGTGAAAAAGTAAAGCATATCTCTCTCATGTGGGACAAAACAAAAGTCAACATAAATATAATTAATTTAATTTAATTTCTTTTCATTTTTCTTTTATGCTCCCGCATCATTCTTCCGGGGTTAGAAGAGACTCGCCATTGAGCCCCACATCTTCATCATGTTCTTTAAAATTCATGCGGTATGCTGGTTTATTTGGAATGACAGAGTCAAGAATGAAATCAATAGCATTTTGAATATCTCGCGTTGGTGGCAACCTAGGAGGTATCTCATCTGGCATAATATCAGAAAATTCTTGAAGTAAGTGCTTAACTTTCTCAAGCAAGGCAAGAGACACTTCATTTTCGTCGTACAATAGTAACAAACACACCTGGTTTATTTCCTGACAAACTTTCTCAAGACCAGATCTCGTGATAAATGTTGCAGGCTCCTCTAGGTTCTTCAAACGATTTTCTGGTCTCGTTTTTAAAACTTACTTTTCCTTTTACAAATTCATATTCATCTTATTGTGTGATTATTTTTTCCATAGTTTTAGTATTATATTTTCATCTAACAATCAAATATTTAAAATAAAACAAATTGTTTCAATGATTATGAAAATTTAGGGTTAGAGTTTATGTAAGATTAAATGTTAAAAATTAAAACAAAAATATAAAATAGAGTATAAGTGTATTTAGAAATTATAATGTTATTTCTAGTAACTTTAATTAAAATTAAACTTGTCAAAAGAAAAACTAAATTTAAAAGTGAGAGATAGGGGCTAAAAATCTATTGAGAGGATATATTGGCACTCCTATTAATGAGTTAAAGAAACTCTGCTTTTTAATAACTTTTGTAATGTCAAAATTTATCACTATATTAAATTATCAATATTAAGTTTAATTTCTAATTCTTTACAAATAATTTTGACACCCCACATTTATCTTATTTAATTTCTAATAATTTAATCAAAATTGAATTAGAAAATAAAAAATTATCCAAATTGCAGTTAATATAACAAGTTTACCCTCCTATAATATTCATAATTGAACAAAGAAATTACTGATTTACCCTTACTTTTATATCTTAATAATGTAAGCCTAATTTTCATCTAATAGATAATGAAGACTTTTCAACTTATATTTTTATAAATTTAGTCTTTATATGATGAATCTAATCCACCAAATAGTTATTATCCAAGTACTTGAAATTCCTCAACAAGATATTCTTATCTCCAAAGGAGTTTTGATTTCCTTATTATTAAGGGGAATCGTTATTGCACTAGATCATACTCAACCAACTAGTCGAGGTATTGACTACCAGTCTTGAAGTTTCAGTCTAGGTTAATGCCATTTACACCCCCTAAGATTCAAGAAATTGATAGTTAGACCTTTCAATTATAAAAAATGAAGGATCAAATGACTTGGTAAATTAGACTTTTAAAACCTCCGAATGTCACTTTATCACAATATCCTCAAATTAAAACTCTTAGTGACTTAAAGATGTTTCTCTAGTGCAATATATATATATGGCAAATGGCAAGCAATTGAAAATGCTTGAACGAAAAAATAAATTGCACAAATGTAAAGAGATAAGGGAAAAGAAAAGCAAACACAACGATACATAATGGTTCGGCCCCAACCCGATCTATGTCCACTCCTTTTAAGCTATCCTTCTTAGAGTATTCTATAATCTCCCTTAGTTGATCACCCAACCAAGCAAATCCAATACAAATAGCTTTCCTCCAAGTGTTATTAAACATTTACACACAATTGTTTCACAAGGTGCAATTGGAACCCCTCTCTCACACACTAAGACTTACTTTCTCTTAGTAGAATTATCTAGAAACCCGAGAATAAACCTCACTCTTTTACAACTCGAAATTTGATTGATAAAACAATGAAAAACTCTCTCAAAGAGTAGATGAACAACTGTATAGCTCAAGAAACCTAATCTACAAAAATCCAAGTTTAGGATTTAGCAAGGGTTTAATTTAGAATATGATATTTGTATGTGAAAGCTCCAAAAGATTGGTATAAGATTGTTTGATTTCTTTTGTTCTGAAAGAGATGAAATTTCACAGAATATAAAGTTATTTCAGAATGGGTTTTGCTTAATTTATATATGGGAGTGCAAAAATATAGTCATTATACCTAAAAACGAACTTTGAAAATCGTAGAAATTGGTCGACCATTTCCAATCCGATAGATTGTTTCCAATCCAGTCGACTGAATTTGAGGTGGTGCCTATGTGGTGCATAGGGATGGGCATTTTCCCCGTCCCGTCGGAGACCCGGACCGAATGGGGAGGAGATTCCCCGAATGGTTTGGAGACAAGACCAAGTCGAGGCCAAAATTCAATCCACAGGGCTGGGGACAGGGTTAGTCTTGTCCTGGCCCGTCCCGCCCCGCCGTATATATATATCTTCCTACCTTCTACTCGTTGTGAAACACTTATTTAGACATAATAGTTCAATGGTTATAAACATAAAATTAGCAACTGACTTTACACAGATCTAGCAATTATGATAGTGATAAAAAAAAAAAAAAAAAAAAAAGGGCACTTTGACCCAACGTCTACCTCAACAAGTCAATAACACAATCCCAGTAAAATACGAAATTTTGACTTGACTACTTTATTACTCTAACTGGTATGGCAAGGTGTTTGGGTAATACAATTGGGATACTATTAAAAATGAAATTAATTTATTTTTGTATATAAAAGATTTTGTCACAGATAAAAGACCTTTTTGCTAAAGATATATTAGTGTATCATGAATTGTTAAACCGAGGACAGCAAACTTCTTTTCCCCCACTCCATTAACCATATTCTTCTTCAATTACCCAATAAAACTTGCAATTACGGTAATACAAAAGCCTTCAATAATAATACAACTACAAGATGAAGATATTCAATTGCACAAGTATTTACATATTGTTTATTATGGGTACAAAAGAATTGCCCTCTATAGCGAACAATTTGGAGAAAGAATTCAGAACAAAATGTCTTCAGCAGCAAAAACAAAAGCTGATGAGAAAAATATAGATGAACTCATCTTTCTGTGCACAGGTATTACGAAAAGAATTTACTCCTAAGCAAAACATAATGCTTCCAAATAATCGTCAACATATGCTAAGCAAGGCCAGTGATCAGTTCTAATTCGAACTAAAGTTGAGTTATCAGATACTTCCATTCGAAATAGAAGATGGAACCTTGGGGGAAGAAATATCAAAATGAGAAAGCAACCCATATTTCTTTTACTGATATTAACCTGACCTTCTCCTTCATTTTCATCCCCGATGTAAGTAAGATGCAGAGGCCCTGGCTCAATATCAGTACTGAAGTTACTACCATCAAGAAACGAATCAGAGGCCAAATCCTTCCAGATGATATCCATAATGATTCCACCATCCTTCACAATGTTGATAAGTTGCTCTCCAATCACGCTTACAACAAAGGGTGCCAGGTAGCGTTCTGTAGCCCTAATCAAAGTGTCTGCAGGAACTTCAAGTAGCTTGACTGACTGGATTCCATTTATTGCTGCAACCCCCTTGCCTCCTTTCAATGTAAAAGTCTCCCGCCCTGTGTTGGAAGAGGTACTACATGCCTCCCAAAGAGCACTGAACAAATCAGAGTAATAAAGAGGTATTACATCTTCTGGTATATCCGGTGGGGAAATAGCCTTGAGAAACATGTCTTCTATGCCTACTGTGATACTCTGAAGCTGGCCATATATGATCTGACCATTTTCTGCATTTGTTTCAATAAAAACATCGACAAGACCAGGTGATGGTTCGGAGGGTTCCAAATCAATAATTACATGAGCTCGAAAGCTTTCCTCTTCTCCAGAACCATTTTCTACAGGAACATCTAGTGAAACCATTTGATCAGAAAAACTACCCTTTCTTGCAGGTTCACCTAGAAGAAAAGGTATGTGACACGAAGGAATAGACCCATATGGTGCTGAGGATGAAAATTTAAGCACGGTAGCATATATGGCTGGAAGGGAATCTACTCCATCCAACCCACCCATAGAGGAATCATCTCCCCACAAATGATTGAAAGGCCCAGATTCAAATCTCAAACTACATGATATTCTAACCTTCAGCCCTTCCACATGCCTGAAGTCAGGAATACAAGAAAAGTGCCTCCTGAGTATTCCTAATATTTCTGAAATTTTAGAATCCATGACACGTAATGGTTCAAGTGGCTGATTGATATTTTCTGCTTTAGACACAATCTGATGATCAATACTGCCATCAAGTTCCCTTTCATAAACAACAGGTTCAGTGTCCCTAATGTTGTCTATAAAACCAGATTTATTACTCCCAATACCCATGGTTGATAACGACAAGGACCAAGATTGTTTGACTAGTGGTGGTATCACACGCTCAAGATGAACACAAGATGAGATGTTTTTGGACCTCTTGATATCATGATAGTGCCTTGGAGACTGAATGTTGAAGAATGAATTCGAATGTGGAGATGGTGCTATGCCAAGAAGTTGCTCCCCATGATTAAGTACGCCTCTGAGCTTCCCTCCTGGTATACAAATCAGCAGTCGCAAGTAGATCCTGCAAAATTCCATGATCATTTAGAAGCCAATGACATGAACTAAAATAAACTACATCACTTCCGTACCAGAAATAATAAAAAATTGACATCAAAAATGATATGGGATAAAAAATAACTATGCTTTTGTTGTCAAACCTTGCATGATCACGAATCTCCAAATCAGGGAAGTACAGGCAGGTGAATGCAAGGAGGCGTGATAGTCCAATGAATAATCTAGAGCTATGATGGTGCATCAGCATGGTTCGGCAATTCCCAAGCACTCTACTTCCCTGAGACCAAGACTTCAGTCCTGTGTCTGGGCCATGCTTCTCAACGAGGAAAGCCATTAAGTTAGTGAGCAGCTCTAACAATCCTTGAGGAGGTATTGTATCATTTTCAGCAATTCTATCAAATATTGGGAAGTAAGAAACTAATTTATAATCTATGATGACTCTTGGAAGCAAATGCTCATCAAGTTTTTGAAGCAAACACTCTCCCAACCAACGATGCTTTTGACAGCCTATCAAGCGATCAATGAAAGCTACAATGACTGGGACCAATCTCTGAAACTTTAATGTCATGTCCACTAGCATGCCCTGGAACATCAAAGTTGTAGACATGAATAATGAGTGATTCCGTAGCTTGTATAATAAAGCAGTTCTAAAACAAAAATAAAATCCATAATTGTACATCAATACACCAAGCCTCCAGATCACCAACTCTATTTTTCTCTCTAATTTTTAAAATTAAAGAGCGATGAAAGATATTGTTGAATCTAAACACAGACATTGCCGACATCAGTAAAAATTTCTGTTTAAATTCAATTTTTTAAAATGACAACTTTGGATTAATTTTCTTTTGGATCCAAAACAATGTTTTACACATGATCCATATCAGAAAGTAATTAAATAGGAAAATACTAGGAAAGCAAAACCTATTGAAGAGACAATATGAATTTTCTAGAGGCAAAACTGTTACAATCACATTGAATTTACTTTTAATTTATAATTAAACATTGCCCAAAATCCTATGAAAATATACATACAGTACATCCAGGGACAATAATTAGCTCGCAACTATATGACTCAGACCTTAGAGGGGAAAACAGAAAAGGATAATGAAAATTAGAGTAACAATAAATATCAATATACTGATGTAAATTAACATGAAAGAATCACTAGTTAGATCTGTATGACAAATGTTGAGTGCTAACAATTAATTTCATTTCCTTCATAAGATGGGAAATCAGAGAGCAAAACTGTTTCAAGGATGTCAACTGTTATTGAAATGTCATTTCTACTCCGTTGGACCGAAAAATCTTAACCATTAATGACTAGATCTTTGGAGTGGCATAAGCAATATTTCTAACTTAAACAACCAAGAAAAATAATTAATCCCTTGCATTCCACATCACATGACAAACGAAAATCAGTTTCCTCCAAGCCCAAGTAGAGGTTCAAAGTACCCAAATCAAGCCGTCTTCTATCTGGGACCTTGCCATTGGTCAGAACTGAAGAATTGCAATTGACAAGGTATACAATTCCAAGTAAAGCACATGAATTTAATAGGATTTTACCTAGAGATATGTCTAAAGTCATAAATTTTGTAAAACAAACTTACAACCATATAAATAAGAGTCGAACTACATTTTATTGAAAGAAAACTACTAAAAAGACCCTTTTGCTTTTGACACATTAAAATATGACATTTTTCAATTGGTTTAATAGATAAGATCTTTCATTTACTTTTGTTCCATTTTAACCTTCCACAACTTTCATGCTTTCACTCTAGCAACTCTAGCGCTAAAGTGACTATAACACTAGATGTGACTCTAGCACTAGAGCCACTAAATTTGTTTTTTTATTTAATTTTTCTCCAAATTAGTGTTAGAAATTAAATATCAAAACTTCTTTAAACTAACAATCAAATTAACTAATTATATTTTATTAAGAAATAAGACATTTTATTTTGAAAAAGGAATAGTAAATGTATATAAGAGTTAATTTAATTTTCTAAAAATAAAAAAATTTCACTCTAGTGCTAGAGTCAACTAGACTCTAACGCTAGAGTTGACTGGACTCTAGCAACTCAAGCACTAGAGTGGTTTTCCGTAGCTGCTAGAGTGAAGAAGGTAAAAGTGGAAAGAAATTGAATGAAGGGTCTTATTGATGCGAACCTACCCAGATCTCTTGCTCACTCATACACAAATACTAAGGACACATATTCATATGCTGTCTCAAAAAATTCTGTCAACAAGACAATAAGAGTCTAAGGAAAGTGGGTTTTAAGTGGGACCGCTTGTGACCCCTCATTTCTTGGGAATTTTCCTGGTGCGTATTGAACCATAACACTTACTACTATATCAAGTTCCTGTGAATTATTTGATTTTATACCTCATCACCCCTACCACAAAAATGTCACCAAACCTCAAATCGTCAAAGAACTGTTCGAGATGTTGCAATTGAGAAATTAAGAAACCAAATCAAAGAACTACAAGAACAACTTGCAAGACAAGGAGTCACACGAGATCAAGATGATGAAATCGGTAATAGCTCCAACAGTGAAGGTGAGGGCACCAACCATTTGGGGAAGAGTCTTTATCTCGAGATGAATCTCCTAGGTTCCGTCCGAGGGGTCGAGGCAGTGAATTTGGATTTCAAGCTTCAAAGTAGACATTCCTGAGTTTGAGGGAAGACTTCAGCCATGATTTTATTGACTAGTTACACAAGGTAGAAAGAATTTTTAAGCTTCAAGATGTTCCTGATGAGAAGCGTGTGAAACTGGTTGCAATAAAATTGAAAAGATATGCATCTATATGGTGGGAGAATTTGAAACGGCAGCAAGAAAGAGAGGGCCGTCAGAAGATCAAAACATGAGAGAAGATGCGCCAAGAACTCAAACTAAGTTTCTTCCAGCACACTATCGATAAGACACTTTTCTTCAATTTCATAATTTAAGACAAGAATCATGTCGAGAAGAGTATAGATGGAGTTTGAGCAACTTTTTCTGAGTGTGATATCCATGAACCAGCAAAACCATCACTCGTATCTGGGAGGTCTTATATAGAGATTGCAGATGTCGTACAATTACAACCATACTGGAATCTCTACAACCATAATGTAGAGATTACAGATGTTATCTAGTTGGCGATTAAGGTTGAAAAGCAACGGGCACGGAAGAACACTATAAATTCCATTAGACAAAGGGAGACTACAACAAACTATGGAGAACAAAGCTTAGCACCCGTTCCAAATCTACAGTAAATTCCTTCAAGCCTCTTTATAGAAATGATAAAGAGGGTGATTCTAGTCGCACTTCTAATGCCGCCGTCAAGAAATGTTTCAAGTGCCAAGGCTTTGGGCATATCGTTTTTTGATTGTCCAAATCGAAGAATTGTTTCATTGTGGAGGAAGAAGTTATTGAAAATCATGCTGAGGAGGTGAAGTAGAAGTGCTTGATGAGGACATAATAGAAGTACATGTTGATAATGGAGAATCCCTTGCGGTACGCCGCAGTCTGAGACCGTTATGATGACAAAGACGCAAGTTGGCTTCGTCATAATATTTTCCAACAAAGTGCACATCCAAAGGGAATGTTGTAACGTCCTTATTGATGGGGTAGCTGTGAAAATGTTGTTGTCAATTATATGGTAGAAAAACTGAAGCTTTCAACCATAGCACATCCTCATCCTTATAAACTGCAATGGTGAGGAAAAAAAACGAAGTCAAAGTGTCAAGCGTTGTTGTGTTCAATTTTCAATTTTCTATCGGGGATAAGTATCGGATATCAGGATAAAGTTTGGTGTGATGTTGTCCGATGGATGCTGCCACTTATTATTGAACGCCTATGTGTAGTATGATCGTCAAGTTCTTCATTGTGGATACAAAAACATGTATTCTTTCAAAATGGATGGGGAAAATTGTTTGAAGAAAACCAGAAGAGCCTACAACATTTATCACGAGATCCGGTCTTGAGAAAGCTGTCGGGAAATAAACCAGGTGTGTTTGTTACTATTGTGCGACGAAAATGAAATGTCTTTACCTTGCCTGAGAAAGTCAAGCACTTACTTCAAGAATTTTCTGTATTGTGCCGGATGAGATACCTCCTAGGTTGCCACAACGCGAGATATTCAACATGCTATTGATTTCAGTCCTGGCTCTGTCATTCCAAATAAACCAGGTATCGCATTATTTTTAAAGAACATGATGAAGACGTGAAACTCGATGGCAAGTCTCTTCTAACCCCGGAAGAATGATGCGGAGCATAAAAGAAAAAGGAAAAGAAATTAAATTAAATAATTATATTTATATTGACTTTTGTTTTGTCCCACATGGGAGAGATATGCTTTACTTTTCACTTGGAGGCTATAAATAAACGCTTACTTGTCCCTTGTAATCATCATTGAATATTACTTTCTTTCCTCTTTGAGGTTGTAGTTATCTTTGGTAACCAACCAAGGTAGCTTTTTTGGCTATTATCGCATAGCGGAGTTTATTCTAATTTCACCAGATTGACATCATAATGGGGTTTTCAACCTCGCTAAAATTGGTGTTTCTGCGCACGTCCTGGCGTCAACTTGGTATTAAACGCCGGGACGTCGCGAGAAACCCCAATCTTGGCGAGTTTGAAAACCCCACCATGGATGCCAATTGTGGTGGGTATGAGAATAAACCCGCTATGACAATAATAGCCAAAAAGACGCCTTGGTGGCTAAGCCAAGGATAACTATAACCTCCAAGAGGAAGAGAAAGTAATATTCAATGATGATTATAAGGGACAAAGTAAGGCTTTTATTTATAGCCTTCCAAGTGAAAAAGTAAAGCATATCTCTCTCATGTGGGACAAAACAAAAGTCAACATAAATATAATTAATTTAATTAATTTCTTTTCATTTTTCTTTTATGCTCCCGCCTCATTCTTCCGGGGTTAGAGAGACTCGCCATTGAGCCCACATCTTCATCATGTCTTTAAAATTCATGCGGTATGCTGGTTTATTTGGAATGACAGAGTCAAGAATGAAATCAATAGCATTTTGAATATCTCGCGTTGGTGGCAACCTAGGAGGTATCTCATCTGGCATAATATCAGAAAATTCTTGAAGTAAGTGTTAACTTTCTCAAGCAAGGCAAGAGACACTTCATTTTCGTCGTACAATAGTAACAAACACACCTGGTTTATTCCTGACAAACTTTCTCAAGACCAGATCTCGTGATAAATGTTGCAGGCTCCTCTAGGTTCTTCAAACGATTTTCTGGTCCGTTTTTAAAACTTACTTTTCCTTTTACAAATTCATATTCATCTTATTGTGTGATTATTTTTTCCATAGTTTAGTATTATATTTTCATCTAACAATCAAATATTTAAATAAAACAAATTGTTTCAATGATTATGAAAATTGGGTTAGAGTTTATGTAAGATTAAATGTTAAAAATTAAAACAAAAAATAAAATAGAGTATAAGTGTATTTAGAAATTATAATGTTATTTCTAGTAACTTTAATTAAAATTAAACTTGTCAAAAGAAAACTAAATTTAAAAGTGAGGATAGGGCTAAAAATCTATTGAGAGGATATATTGGCACTCCTATTAATGAGTTAAAGAAACTCTGCTTTTTAATAACTTTGTGTAATGTCAAAATTTATCACTATATTAAATTATCAATATTAAGTTTAATTTCTAATTCTTTACAAATAATTTGACACCCCACATTTATCTATTAATTTCTAATAATTAATCAAAATTGAATTAGAAAAAAAAAATTATCACAATTGCAGTTAATATAACAAGTTTACCCTCCTATAATATTCATAATTGAACAAAGAAATTACTGATTTACCCTTACTTTTATATCTTAATAATGTAAGCCTAATTTTCATCTAATAGATAATGAAGACTTTTCAACTTATATTTTTATAAATTTAGTCTTATATGATGAATCTAATCCACCAAATGTATATTATCCAAGTACTTGAAATTCCTCAACAAGATATTCTTATCTCCAAAGGAGTTTTGATTTCCTTATTATTAAGGGGAATCGTTATTGCACTAGATCATATCAACCAACTAGTCGAGGTATTGACTACCAGTCTTGAAGTTTCAGTCTAGGTTAATGCCATTTACACCCCCTAAGATTCAAGAAATTGAGTTAGACCTTTCAATTATAAAAAATGAAGGATCAAATGCTTGGTAAATTAGACTTTTAAAACCCCGAATGTCACTTTATCACAATATCCTCAAATTAAAACTCTTAGTGACTTAAAGATGTTTCTCTAGTGCAATATATATATATGGCAAATGGCAAGCAATTGAAAATGCTTGAACGAAAAAATAAATTGCACAAATGTAAAGAGATAAGGGAAAAGAAAAGCAAACACAACGATACATATGGTTCGGCCCACACACGATCTATGTCCACTCCTTTTAAGCTATCCTTCTAGAGTATCTATAATCTCCCTTAGTTGATACCCAACCAAGCAAATCCAATACAAATAGCTTTCCTCCAAGTGTTATTAAACATTTACACACATTGTTTCACAAGGTGCAATTGGAACCCCTCTCTCACACACTAAGACTTACTTTCTCTTAGTAGAATTATCTAGAAACCCGAGATAAAACCTCACTCTTTTACAACTCGAAATTTGATTGATAAACAATGAAAAACTCTCTCAAAGAGTAGATGAAAACTGTATAGCTCAAGAAACCTAATCTACAAAAATCCAAGTTAGGATTTAGCAAGGGTTTAATTTAGAATATGATATTGTATGTGAAAGCTCCAAAAGATTGGTATAAGATTGTTTGATTTCTTTTGTTCTGAAAGAGATGAAATTTCACAGATATAAAGTTATTTCAGAATGGGTTTTGCTTAATTTATATATGGGAGTGCAAAAATAAGTCATATACCTAAAAACGAACTTTGAAAATCGTAGAAATTGGTCGACCATTTCCAATCCGATAGATTGTTCCAATCAGTCGACTGAATTTGAGGTGGTGCTATGTGGTGCATAGGATGGGCATTTTCCCCGTCCCGTCGGAGACCCGGACCGAATGGGGAGGATTCCCCGAATGGTTTGGAGACAAGACCAAGTCGAGGCCAAAATTCAATCCACGGGCCGGGGACAGAGTTAGTCTTGTCGGGCCCGTCCCGCCCTGCACCCCGCCCTTCATATATATCTTCCTGCCTTCTACTCGTTGTGAAACACTTATTTAGACATAATAGTTCAATGGTTATAAACATAAAATTAGCAACGACTCTACATGATCTAGCAATTATGATAGGGATAAAAAAAAAAAAAAAAAAAAAAAGGGCACTTTGACCAACGTCTACCTCAACAAGTCAAAACACAATCCCAGTAAAATACGAAATTTGACTTGACTACTTTATTACTCTAACTGGTATGGCAAGGTGTTTGGAATACAATTGGGATACTATTAAAATGAAATTAATTTATTTTTGTATATAAAAGATTTTGTCACAGATAAAAGACCTTTTTGCTAAGATATATTAGTGTACATGAATTGTTAAACCGAGGACAGCAAACTTCTTTTCCCCCACTCCATTAACCATATTCTTCTTCAATTACCCAATAAAACTTGCAATTACGGTAATACAAAAGCCTTCAATAATAATACAACTACAAGATGAAGATATTCAATTGCACAAGTATTATATTGTTTATATGGGTACAAAAGAATTGCCCTCTATAGCGAACAATTTGGAGAAAGAATTCAGAACAAAATGTCTTCAGCAGCAAAAACAAAAGCTGATGAGAAAAATATAGATGAACTCATCTTTCTGTGACAGGTATTACGAAAAGAATTTACTCCTAAGCAAAACATAATGCTTCCATAATCGTCAACATATGCTAAGCAAGGCCAGTGATCAGTTCTAATTCGAACTAAAGTTGAGTTATCAGATACTTCCATCGAAATAGAAGATGGAACCTTGGGGAAGAAATATCAAATAGAGAAAGCAACCCATATTTCTTTTACTGATATTAACCTGACCTTCTCCTTCATTTTCATCCCCGATGTAAGTAAGATGCAGAGGCCCTGGCTCAATATCAGTACTGAAGTTACTACCATCAAGAAACGAATCAGAGGCCAAATCCTTCCAGATGATATCCATAATGATTCCACCATCCTCACACATGTTGATAAGTTGCTCTCCAATCACGTTACAACAAAGGGTGCCAGGTAGCGTTCTGTAGCCCTAATCAAAGTGTCTGCAGGAACTTCAAGTAGCTTGACTGACTGGATTCCATTTATTGCTGCAACCCCCTTGCCTCCTTTCAATGTAAAAGTCCCCGCCCTGTGTTGGAAGAGGTACTACATGCCTCCCCAAGAGCACTGAACAAATCAGAGTAATAAAGAGGTATTACATCTTCTGGTATATCCGGTGGGGAAATAGCCTTGAGAAACATGTTTTATGCCTACTGTGATACTCTGAAGCTGGCATATGATCTGACCATTTTCTGCATTTGTTTCAATAAAAACATCGACAAGACACGGTGATGGTTCGGAGGGTTCCAAATCAATAATTACATGAGCTCGAAAGCTCCTCTTCTCCAGAACCATTTTCTACAGGAACATCAGTGAAACCATTTGATCAGAAAAAACTACCTTTCTGCAGGTTCACCTAGAAGAAAAGGTATGTGACACGAAGGAATAGACCCATATGGTGCTGAGGATGAAAATTTAAGCACGGTAGCATATATGGCTGGAAGGGAATCTACTCCATCCAACCACCACTAGAGGAATCATCCCCACAAATGATTGAAGGCCCAGATTCAAATCTCAAACTACATGATTCTAACCTTCAGCCCTTCCACATGCCTGAAGTCAGGAATACAAGAAAAGTGCCTCCTGAGTATTCCTAATATTTCTGAAATTTAGAATCCATGACACGTAATGGTTAAGTGGCTGATTGATATTTTCTGCTTTAGACACAATCTGATGATCAATACTGCCATCAAGTCCAAACAAAAACTAAAGGATCTAAATCAATTTACAACAAATGTATATGAGAATGAGCAAAGATCAGTTAGCTTTCTCTCAAGTGAGGATTTTATTCATGACTGCCAAAAATCCTACATGTTCTAAAATCTATGTCACTCTCACGGAGACAAATGAGTGGCCTTAAAACAAAAACATAGTGTGCTCAAAAATAGTACGGGAAAAATAACTATCCTAATCAAACAAAGGAATAATGTGCTCATAAATCCTCCGAGATATAGTAAAAACCCCATCACATAACAAGTAATGCAATTTCTATACACCTTGAAGTAAAATTATATCACAAAATAAAAAATAAAAAAAAGCTAGCAAGAGGTGAACTTTTCATGATACAAAAAATAATCTGAACAAAGCAGGAGGCACACTTGGGCAGCTGCAACAGGTTCTTCTGCTTCTTTGAGTCGTACAAGTACTTCACCTGCGGCTTGTATAGCTTCAACAGTATCCCGCAATTGAGCTTGAAGCCCTTTATTCTCATCCCTGAGATATCTCCTCTCTTTCTCTTTTAGCTTTCAATGCTGAAATTTCAGCTGCAAGAACATTTATGAACTTAGATTCAGCACCCATTACTCCTGTTCTAGTAGCTGCTTTTTAACATCATCTATTCCTTCCTAAATCTTTCTGTGCCTTGCAAGCAATTGAATATGCTTTTCCTTAAGATCTATGTACTGTTGTAGCATGCGTGTATGTCCTTCCATAGCCATCTGCATTGCTTCCTTCAACTCTTCTGTACATTGCTTTTAAGCATCAAGTTCCTGTTTTTGCTTTTCTGCTAAGGAACTGCTAGGTTCAAGTTTGATCCTCAATTCTTCTACAAGAGATATCCACTTGCTCTTTACCTCAGTCCAGTGGATTCTTTCTCGTTCAAGTTTCTCGTCAGCACTATTTTCGGCTGACTCTGGAATTGTAGTCAAAGGTAGTGCTAGATTGGGATCACATGAATAAGTCAATTGCAAAATTGAGTTTTTTTTTCGAGCAGATAATGAAGAAGAGTCTATATAATATTGTAACTCGCTTCTTAAATCTTGAATCCCTTCTAACAGAACTTCCCTTTCATCTAAATCACAGAAAGTTCGATAATGTTCCAGTTGCTCTTGAGCTATATTGAGTTCAATTTTTGTCCTTAAAATTTCAGGATGACTCTTAAATTTTTCCTTCTGAAGCTGTAAAAAATAAGGTCAGATATATGCACAAAATATTAATTAATGTTATCTTTAGAAATAAATTTATACTTTGGCAAGTAACCATTCTACCTCAAAGCTTAATTTCATAAGTAACAACCTAATAAAAGTATTAAAAAGCTACAATAATACCCGTCACGTATCTCATAGTGAAATGGATGCAAACACAGATGCAAACTAAATAAATATACAATTACATATGAAAAATGAAAACATGTGAAACTTGTAGGGATTTGTAATTGAGTGTTTAGCTTTACTACTATGTTAAGTAGATTTGTAACCAAAAACTTAGGCTAATATATTTTTTAGCTCTAACATACCTTATGCTCATGCATGAGGTATGCAAATTCTTCTTCGATGAACTCCTCAGTTGGCAAAACACCATCCATAAGGCTTTCAAGGCGCATAATTTTATCCTCCCTTGTCTGTCCTATAATGGCATTGCATTCTCTTTCATGCTTGTACTGTTGCACCTGCAAAGAAAAGAAGAAAAATGTCACCAATGAAAAAACAAAAAAAGAAGAAAAAGAAAGCATTATATAGTCATTGCTATTTGTTGGTAAAACAAGTAAGAAAACATACCAAACGATTAAGGTGCTTAATTTCAGAAGTTTGCTTGGCATAGAAGTCCTCTAGTGCTATTTCCCTCCTAATGGCTCCTGCCAAAACCTTCTCCACTGCCTGAGCGAAAAAGAAACATGTATATGCAAGCAGTAATGATGTTAAATTAATCCAAAATGCAGCTGAATCATTATACTTACTTTTGGAACTTGCTTCACGGACTTGTCCGCAGAGTGAGTCAACAAAAGGTACCAACTGAAGATTTGAGCTCTCATTCCCCTCTTTGACATCTAGCTGCATTCTGTTCTTGCAATGGTTATATAAGAATAATTTTGTATCTTCTTTTGGCATCTCACCATTTTGAGAAGTTTGCACGCTGATGTCAACTTTGGCAACAGGCAAAACTGGTTTAAAATCAGTGGGTCTTAATGAGAACCTGTTGATGTTTGTACACCGGAGATTACAAAGAAAAGAAAGAGAGCAATTTGAGAGTAAAGAGAGTTGTGTATATTCTCTATTTTCAATGAGTTTTCATTACAACTAATAAAGCAAAAGTCAAACTGTTTACACCAACTTTGCAGTCATATTATAACCTGAATTAACCTAAAGCCACACACTTAATACCAACTAACAACAACTATTACAACACATCCCTTATAACCTGGGAATACATATCTACCATTACAAAATAAGTTATACTTGCTGCATCTCAAAATGGACCCCCGGTAGATTGTCTTTCAGTTTTGCCACCAAATCATGTTCAAAAAACCAACCAGTAAACTGTTGCATTTCCAGCCAAGTATCAATGTTCAACACTCCTCCTTGATGGTTGGCTAGAAACACCAAGTCTGAATCTGAATTCTTCAAACTTGGCTTTATAGATAGCTTTGGTCATAATGTCAGCCACTTGTGATTCACTCCTGCAGTGTATCAGTTTCACTTCACAATTTTGCTCAGCCTCTCTCACGGCATGAAACTTTATTTTTATGTGTTTTGTTCGTCCATGGTGCACTGGATTTTTGGCCATAACTACTGCAGATTGATTGTCACACATGATGGCAATAGGCTTGATCTGTTTCAGCTTCAAATCTTCAAGGATCTTCCTTAGCCAAATGGCTTGATTCATAGCTGCAACAGCAGATATATACTCTGCTTCTGCTGTGGATTGAGCCACGGTTTCTTGCTTCATGGAGAGCCAACAGATAGCACCATGATTTTAGAAAAATGCAAATCCAAAAGCATTCCTCATATCATCTGTTGAACTAGCCCAATCACTGTCGGAATAACCAACTAATTTGAAGTCTTCTGATCTCTTGAGCCACACCCTAAAGTCAGTGCTACCTTTTACATATCTCAACACCCTTTTTGCAGTCTTGAAGTGTGTCTCAGTTGGCTGACTTATAAACCTGGACAATAAGCTAGTGGCATATATCAAATCTGGTCTAGTTGCTGTCAAGTATAGTAGACACCCTATCAAACTTCTGTACAATCCTTCATCAACCTTCTCACCATTATCATCTTTTGACAGTTTCAAATTAGGAACCAATGGCAAATCCACTGGTTTGCAATTCTCCATGCAGAATTTTTTTAGAACTTCATTTGCATACTTTCTTTGATTCACAAAGATGCCATCTACCTCTTGATTAATTTCCATTCCAAGAAAGTAGGACATTCCACCCAAGTCAGTCATTTCAAACTCAGTTTGCATGGATTTCTTGAACTCATCCACTTGTGCTTGATTACTTCCAATTACTAGAAGTTCATCCACATACAGAGAAATGATCATCACATCATCTTCAGCTTCACTAGTGTATAGAGTATATTCATTTGGACTCCTCACAAAGTCTAAGTTGAGCAGGTGGTTATTGATCCTGTTGACCAGGCCCTTGGTGCCTGTTTTAGGCCACACAAGGCCTTCTTCAGCAAATACACTTTTCCCTCTTCTCCTTGGATCACATACCCTTCAGGTTGTTCAATGTAAATTTCCTCATTTAACTAGCCATTCAAGAAGGCAGATTTTACATCCTGGTAAACTTTCGAGGAGAATTTAGCTGCCATAGCAAGTAGTAGTCTGATAGTGTCATGCCGAGCAACTAGAGCAAATGTTTCCAAGAAATGCACTCCATATTGCTGAGCAAATCCCTTAACCACAAGCCTAACCTTATGCTTCAGAACTGGCCCATTTGGATTTACCTTTTTTCTAAAAATCCATTTCACCTGAATCACCTTTCTGTTTTCTGGTCTGTCCACCAGCTTCCAGGTCTGATTTTTTTCAATCATTGCAAGCTCCTCCTTCATGGCAATCCTCCAAGGTTCTGACTGTGCAACCTCTGTATAGCTTGAAGGTTCCATTTGTGCCAAGTTGCATCTGTCATATACATCAGCTAGAGTCCTA